AAGTGGAAACCACCTAAGGGCCCATTGTTAGAGGAAATGGAGAATTGAACTGTTGTTTGTTCACACGATGCAACACTGCGCATCAGTGAAAGTGAATGAATGAGACCTACATGTATCAACATAATTTGAGTGAAAAAAGTTACATAAGTGAGGTAACAGTAAGACACTATTTGTGTACATTTTAAAAACAAAAGCTAATACATATTGTTAGGCATACATATGTTATAAAAGTATAAAAATATATATCAGAATGGTATACACTAACTTCAGGAAAGAGGCTTACCTCGGGATGAGCTTGAGTACATCTAACTTTCTGGATTACATATGGGTACAAGAGAAGTTTTAAGCAAATAGGGCTGAAACATTAACATCTGTCCAGTTAGGGTGATGGGTGCTTAGTTACCTGTTATGTTGTGTTTTCCCTTTTTTGCATGTTTGAAATGTTTTATAACTTAAAAAAGATTATATGTGGAATTACCAAACCAGAGTATAACCATAACAGTTAACTGTTGCTCCTGAAATAACTTGCATGGCTTACTAAAGCAAAAAGAGATTCTATGTGTCATCAATGCCTGTATCCAAACCATAATTAGAAACTTTTTCCCAAGTTCATCTTATGATGGTTCTTTATGCATTTCCTGGGCCAGAAGCAAAATTAATAAGGGTGAGACACTACAATTTGATTTCCTTTTTTTTTCTTGTGTTCTACCTGTATGCTTTTGTACTGGATTATCATCCGTGTTTCAGGCAGAGCTTTCACAGAGTGTGCAAATGTGCAATAGCTAGAAAACTAGTCTTGAAGATTTTGGTTTTTTGGCATCACACAATTTTGATGAGTGATAAGCAGAATATTTTGCCCTAAATACATATTAATGACAATTTATGGTTTTTTTTAAAACAAAAGACATCTCAGTAATTACCATTGTGCTTGGGCAGAATGAAATGAAAATGAAAAAAGCATTGACTTAGCAGAGATAATGTCTATGCAATAAAAGTCTACCAACTTGCAACCCCCCATATGTAAAATGCAGTTTATACTTACATCGCTGCACTAAAGATTAAATGATGATAGTGCTTGTCAAGCACCTAGCACAGTAAAGGGCACATAAATATATTTTACTTTGCTTCCCATTCCCTTGCATGTGAACTTGAAGGGAGGAAATAAGAGGCAAAGTAGAAGTTTAGGAGAAACCTAGCACTTCCTTTCCAGCTCTAAGTCTATTGTTTTCACCACCCAGCCTGCCCTCCACATCTTCGTCTGAGAACCAGACTGAACGGAGGCACTACCACAACCAGTTGTAGACACATCTTCTCACCTGGGCTGTGGAGCAATGAAAAAAAGACACTGCATCATCCAGCGTGAAAGTGTCCCTTAGTTTCTATCTCATCTGAGTTGACATAATTCAGATTATATTCTGAGTTTCAAATGCTTTCTTCTGATCAAAAATACAAGTTTCTTTGCAAGTTATGGTGTCTGTTGGTGCCTGACATAAAAGGCTCTCCGGTAAATGTCATATCTGTTGTGAATATTTTTCCCACTTTGTGCTTTTGCTTTTACTTTTCTTTATGGTTTTTGACAAAAAAGAATCTACTTTTTAAAGTCAAATCTATGCCTTTTTCCCTATGATTATTTCTATTGCTTTATTAATAGAAAGTTCTTTCCTATTCACTGATAAGTTAGTAGTCACATATTTTTAAATCTTTTAATGGTTTCATTTAACTCTTTGATCCACTTATAATTTTTTGTGGTATGATACAAGGTGAGGCTATAAATTGGCTTTTTATTTTAAATAAGCACAGCACTGTTTCTTAATCCATCCCTTCCTTCCCCAGTGCTTTTGTGATGTCTCCTTTATTTGTAGTGATTCTCTCTGAGGGAGGAAAGTATATCAGAGTCACTCAGGAAACTTTCTAAAAATTCACTTGACCCAACTTTGCAAGATTCTAGCACATCATGACTAACAATCTTAGGTTTCCCTCTGATTTGTTCCTGCTCCTACCCTTTTGAGAGCTGTTAATTTGTCATATAATCTTCTCGTATATCATCGAGGGTCAGCTTAGCGATGTGTATTCTATTCCAGCGATAAGTTTATCCTTGCATCTGCTCCACAGTATTCTCCTTATTGAAGGATATGAATATATTTTAATCTCTGGTAAAATAAGTTTCCATTCATGTTTCAAAAGACTAAAAAATAATTAGCCCATTAACATGTTTCTGCAAAATCCGGGTTGCCTGTTGAGAGAATTCTATTTCATGCTGTTTTTCTCTTGTGGATAACTTTCAGTAAGGCTTTGCTTCAAATAGTTGTAATTATCTTAGTTCTACTTTTATATCAGCAGGACTGAAGAATCCATTTTAAAAAGTAGTTGAAAACAAAGCCTTCTGTACTAGAACAGGATTTTCTTTTTCTATTGACCTGATCTTAGAAATTCAACCACCATCAAACCTGGCTCTGCATAGAATACTTTTCCAAAACTAACAGCAGTACTCAGCATTTAGGTCTCACCCTGGCAGTCAGGCAGTTAATTTTGCCCTTGTTTGGTTTTGCATATGTGAGATGCTATTTAGAAACTTGTTCTGAATCTTTTGCAAGGTGAGGATGTGTACATACTTCTGAATTTCCTTTTCTATATGCTTCCAGAACTAAACATTGGGTTGGGGGAGGTAGGGACAGTGTTTCCTGCTTGCATATGCTAATGCTCAGTAAGAAATAAAAAATTATATATAGTAAATAGCCTTAAATATTGTTAGGATTCAGGTTACCCTAAGGTATGTTATTAGTGAAGCTTCTATCCGTAAACAAAATCCGTTAGGACAGGTTGACTTTTATCAAAATTTATTTTATCACAAATATTATAGCAAGAATTAACTTGGTGTACTTTTCTTATTTTTTTACGACTGCCATTGTGCAGGGCTATATAGGGATCATCTCATTTAATATAAATAATGAGACAGTTTCTAGAACTGTGAGTCTATTTATGTTTTTTGTGTGTGTGTGTGTGAGGAGGACTGGCCCTGAGCTAACATCCGATGCCAATCCTCCCCTTTTTGCTTGAGGAAGATTGGCCCTGGGCTAACATCCGTGCCCATCTTCCTCTATTTTATATGGGACGCCGCTGCAGCATGGCTTAACAAGCAGTGCGTCAGTGTGCGCCCAGGATCCGAACCTGCGAACCCCAGGCCATAGAAGTGGAACATGCACACTTAACCGCTGTGCCACCAGGCCAGCCCCCAATTTATGTTTCTTTTAATGTTCCGTAAAACTAGTAATAATAATGTAATTTAACAATTCAAACTGTATGTTTATTTACAATAGAGACATGTAGGGATATAAAATGTTTACTAGTAATGTAAAAAAGTTTTTAGTTTTGGGAACGTTAGGGAAAATCAATATTGTCATATTTTAAAATCATACAAATAAATGCTGAATTTCAGTTAAGTGGTATTTGTTAACATTGTCAGAGCAAAGTAATATAAATTTTATTGCTTTTTCTAAGCCTCTAATTTTTCTGCAAATTTCAGTTTTTACTTTCAAGTGTTTCTTGTTTTTTAGATATAATTCTGCTTTGGACCTATTCTTTACTGAACCAATTGTGTGCATTTATTGAAGTACGGCTAACTGAGCACTAATTGTATATAAGCCAAATCTCATTAAAATAAATTCAGCCCTAGCAAAATTCTTCATACTCTTTAATATTGATTTTCCCAGCCAGTGGCCTACCTGAAGTTTGAAGTATTTTGACTATAAAAAATTCTCATACTCTGTGACGGAAACTTATGAATGGCACCTTGGAGTTTGTCATAAGAGTTGTCATAAGAGGCTTTTACATATTCAGTCAACGGCATTCTGATCCTCTGTATGACCAAAGAACTGAACAAATGCTGGCCAAACTTTTGAGAATGGTTCCCTTAATGACAGCTCCTGATTATAATTATATGATATTCTATGCAGCTATATCCAGGTACATTGACTAAGGAAAAAAAGAAATATACCCACTTTTTCAATTCTGTTAAGCCCCCCCCCACCCCGTTTCATTCATCCATTCATTCAATTATTCAACAAATATTGAATTGATCTCCTATGTGCCAGGCAATGCACTAAGTTCCAGGGAGTCAGTGATGAATAAGAGCCCTTTGTCTTAGAGCTTATTCTCCAGTCATTTTTGGACATACATGAAAATTTCAGAATTTGTTCCTTTTACTTCTAATGTACAGGGTTTCTTTATTGTTGTGTAATATTTCAAACACTCAAAAATATACCAAAAATAATCACACAAGTTTAACAGACATGATATTTTGCCATGTTTGCTTCGAATTTCTCCAGATGTGACCATTAACTTGAAGTTGGCATTATGTTGTGTATATTACCATACATGCTTTGTATTTTTATTACATATATATAGATCCATAAAGAATATGGTATTGTTTTATGTTTTGTTTTTACGTGAATGATTTTATATGCTACATACCCTTTTGCAATTTTTTTGTAGTGTTATGAACAGTACTTCACTGAGCATCATTAAATATGTTTTCTTATATATCTGTTTGAGTGGTTCTGTTAGGATGTGCACCTAGTAGAGGACTTGTTGGATCACAGGGTGTGCCCATCTTCAATTTTACTCTATCAAAGTGTGGTCCAAGATGGCTGAATCATTTATAAATCTGTTTTAAATAAGGTGCAGGTTTTTTTTGTGTGTGTGTGAGGAAGATTGGCCCTGGGCTAACATCCATGCCCATCTTCCTCTACTTTATATGGGATGCCACCACAGCATGGCTTGACAGCGGTGCGTCAGTCCGTGCCTGGGATCCGAACCTGTGAACCCCGGGCTGCCAAAGCGGAGCGCACAAACTTAACCGCTACACCACTGGGCTGGCCCCAAGGTGCAGTTTTAAGTACTGTTGCCAGACTATTGAATTCTTAGCTCATCTGTTATTTGATTTTACTGTAAAGTGTTTAAATTCTTTCCGTTTTATCTAAACAGTGATAGATAATAGGTGATTTCATTTTTTATTAGAATTTTATTGTCGTTCCATCTGTTATAGAGGTTTAGGCGTAAATGAATACAGTGGCAAATCATACAGGCTTTTTAAATGACAACGAACATATATTTTCTAACATTTTAAGTCGTCCTCAAATCATTTAACTTACTTTTAAACACACTTGAAATTAGTATTCTCGATTTTAAATAACTTGATTTTGAATAACTACTTTAGTGACTTGAGAAACTATGACATTTTCTTTAATTATTCTGTCGTTAAAGCCATAAATTTCACTTAACTTTATAATCTATGTCAAAGTTGTTAGCTTAACAATATATTTTGAAAAGATTTTACATACAGATTTAAAATCTAGTGATGAGTCTAAGCTTTTTTTCCCTTGAAATATTTTACAATTAAGCAAAAGAAATATGACAAATAAGAAAAGAGCTTTGAGAAGATCTGAGCTTTGTAAGTGCTAGAACTTTGTTTCATAATTTTTAGTTCTCCAAGGAATTAAGAGGCTGTATTTTATCATTCTTTTTAATATATTTACCTCAAATGCTTTAAGAAGTAGCCTGAATTTTAGTTGCAGCAGATGTATCATGCAGGGAGTATCCTGGTTTAAATTCTGAAGTGCTTTCACTCCTGCTCGCTTCCCCTTGAAATCGTCTAGAAAGAAGCTGGCACATTATTTTGCGGATGTTACTGGACATTAGGAAATACATGACTGGATCTAAGCAGCTATTGAAAGATGAGAAAACCAGCATGATCTCATTGGTATTGTGAACAATTTCCTTCCAATAGCAAGACGACACATTTAGCTGTGAAGAAATATAGACAAATCGGAAGGCATGATAGGGAACAAAACATATAGTAAAAATGATTAATACAATAAAGGAATTCCGGGCTGTAGTAGCATATTTACCAGAATTAGGAAATTTTGACCTCCTTTTAGAAATCCTCAATAGATTCTTGCCAATCTTAATATATGAAAGGATTATTAATAGGAAAATTAGCCAGAACATTACCACAAGAATGAAGTTAAAAATTGCTTCTCCTTTTGCATTGTGCTTATCTCTATAATGGAAACACACTGTGGAATTATGACCTCCTTTCTTAAGGGTTGAAATAATCATAGTTAAAAATCCAGCAAGAGCAACTATCCATACTATACAGCAAACATAAATACTTTGTTTAGTTGTTATTGCCTTCCGTTGTTGTATAGACCGATTAATTTTTATGTAGCGATCCAAACTGATGAATCCAAGCAAAATAATGCTAATGTACATGTTCATATAAAATAGTGTTCCCACAACCTTGCAAAGAACCACACCTAGCGTCCACTTGTTTTGGTTAATGTGATACATTATTCGGAAAGGAAGGCAGAAGATAAGTAAGAGGTCTGCAATGGCTACATTAAGTAGGTAAATCTGAATAGAATTTCTTTTGCGGTGGATACCCAGAAATACATAGAGGGCAATTATATTTCCAACCAGTCCCATGATGAAAATAACAGAGTAGAATGTTATTAACACACTAGAAAGTAATTTTTCATCCATGGAACAGGCAGTAGAATTTGATGTTCCTGAGAAGTTGTGTGGCAGTTGGATGCTGTGATTAGTAATAAAGTACACTCCCTGGGAGGAGCAAGGCCAGCTGCTGACCGAAGCAGTCGTCATTGTTACAGTGTGACTTCTCATTCTTCTGTAGGGATCAAAAAGTGAGGATGCTAGATGACATGTTCCTCGTGTGTAGCTTTTGTGTCTTCAGATTTTTCCTACAACAGAATGCCAAACATTGAGTCATTTGCTATTTTAATAACAGTTACTTTCATTCAAAGCGTAAACAATGATTTATTTTCAGATATTGTGAGAAACTTTACTTTTATCCTACTTTGGACCATTTGGGTACCTACACTATATATGTAGCCGCATTATAGTATCAGAAAACAAGCAGCAGGGGCCGGCCCCGTGGCTTAGCGGTTAAGAGCGCGCACTCTGCTGCTGGCGGCCCGGGTTCGGGTCCCGGGCGCGCACCGACGCACTGCCTCTCCGGCCATGTTGGGGCCGCGTCCCACATACAGCAACTAGAAGGTTGTGCAGCTATGACATACAACTATCTGCTGGGGCTTTGGGGGGAAAAATAAATAAATAAAATCTTAAAAAAAAAAAAAAAAAAAAAAGAAAACAAGCAGCAAATATAGTAGAATCTTATGGAGTGTCCTGCTCTAATCTTTCCTGTGGCTGTGGTAAATATTCAAGGTTTGTTTCATTTATTATATTAAAATAACTAACTGAACTATGAAATCATCTTTTCTTAGGGAAGTTGCTATGGGAATAGAGATGGAGTTGAAATGACAGCTCATATTTTTCGAAGATGAGCGTCAATTTCCCTAAAGGTAGTTATAGCCACGAGTGGGCTAGGCCCACTGCTGGCCCCTGCCCAGCTTCCTGCCTTGACTCCTTCCCTCATATGTGGCGTTCATTCATTTTGACATGTATTGCCACATGGCATGTGACGGATAAACTGTGGCAGTCTCTCATTCCATGGTGGGAACAGAGGAAAAGGTCCTAAATTTCTTCCTTTTCAACTTAAGACCAAGTTGGAGGTACTAAAATCATTTGCCTATAGAGGCATGCAATTAACATAACAGACCAAGAGAGCACAGCACCTGCCTGCCTCAATAGGCACTGCACAGGAGAGCAAAGTAGCCAAACAAAACCAAGTCAGGTCAGGCAGTCTCCTGACCTAGAAGCATAGAGCACAGAGTGATAGTATAGATGGGAAACAGGAGGTGCAGTACAAGATTTTGAAAGTAATTAACTGTAGTTTAAATATGCCTTGGCTTAGGTAATTTGAGACTGTTGCTAGAACCTTTTAAGAGATAGTGTGTGAATTCCACTTGTTTGTGGCAGCAGAGAGTGTGAGCACTGCTACTTGTTTTGGGCCCTTTCCTGGGCATTGACGGCTGTGAAGACCTCAGTGTGAGAGGCCCTCATAAAGAGCTAGAAAACATGAGGTGAGGATTCCAGGAGGTCTCATCACATGCCTTTCTTAGTGACTGCCCTGTTTCTCTACAGCAGCCTCTTAGCAGGTATAACATAAAGACAGTCAGAGCAAGGTTATCAAAATCAGACCTAACTAACTCTGTTACCTTGGGCAAACAACTTAATCTTTTCTAAGTCTCAGTTTTCTTGTTCGTAGAAGCGAAAAATGCATATGAAGAACTTTACCCTGGCACATAACAAGTGCTTAGTGCAAGTTAGCTTTTAAAAAAACACCTTTTTAATCTACACAGAAATTGAAATATAATGATGTATACCTGAAATTGGTATAATGTTATAACAAATGTTACCTTAATAAAAAAAATTTTTTTTTAAAAAAACACCTTTTATCTCATTTTAGTACATGCTTCACACCTGGCTAAGTACTGCTTGGAAAATCAAGGTGAACAAGACAGAGACCTTGCTCTTGGTAAACATTTTTGTAGGAGTGTGCATTCAAACTCTGAATGCTGCAATGTAAAGTGGGTTTGAATTACAGGAATTAATTTCCAGATTTGTGTTATACACAGAGAAAAATATTTGGAAGAACTTAGCCATTCTTAAAATTCTACCTATAATTTGATCAAGAGGAAACCATTTTGGTAGAGGTTAAAATTATGATTTAAAGTTTTATAAAGGGGAAAAATTGATTCCAGGGAAGAGGAACTGGCTGGTGAAGAGGAAGTTATGTAATCACTGGTAAAAGCCTGTCTCCAGAGTTCAGGACAGTGGAAGGAAGGAGGCAGGAGGACCGAGCCTAGTCTGTCGTGTGTCTCAACTGCAGGAAGACAGATTTCACAAAGTTTATAGAAACTTACAGGCATGTTTCTGGTGATCTAAAATTCTAAAAGGAAAGGGAAATCTAGGAAGAATGGCAGGCTGCCAAAAATGAAGCTAATATGTAATCTAGATTACCAGGAAGAGAAAAAGGGCGCCTGTAGAGGGACCCGCGTTGTGTGGTTTCACAGGGATCTCGCAGAGGCGCGGGTAGAAACATCTCATAGCCACTGATGAAAGGGAGCCTGAGGCGTGACAACTGATGTGATTTTTGAAAGCTGAGATAGCTGAAATGACTTTAGAAATTCATCTGTAAGAAGTTGTTTTTTTCTTCCTGTGCTATATTTTAAACTGCATTAGGGTTAGGAACCAAGACTATTTTGTTTGCCTCTGTGTACCAAGTGCTTGGCACAATAAATATTGTTGAATGAAAGAGAGAATTTAGTAGAAAAGTAGCTAGAGTTCTACATGTGGATATTAAAATGAACTGTTCAGGTACAGGAGGGGCTTTAGTTGCATTAACAGAAATGCAGTTGCAATTGTCTGCAGTTGCTGTATCAGTAGTGTGATGTGGCTGCAACAAAAACTGACCCCTTCTTTGGTTGAATGCATAGATATGGAGTGTCTTAAGTGAAGATTGTTACTACGAATCTGGTTCAATCCCAAGCTGGTAGGACCACACCTGGAATACAGTGTTTCATCCTAGCAGTACACTTAGAAAAGGCCACAGAGCAAATGGGGAGAAAAGCTGCAATCATGTCATAGGCGCGATTTGTAGGAAATAGGCACCTTACCCTGAAGATGTGAATGCTTCACAAGGCCATGGAGAAAAGGAGTTCACCTTCTGATATGTGTCTTCAGAAAGCAGAACAAGGACTAGTGAGTAGAATTGCAGAGACAGATGTTGCCTCCTTTTAAGGAAATGCTTTTTTAGAATGAAACAGTCTATCTTGGGAGGCAGTAAGGGTTTTACCGCCAGGGATTTCGAGACTACCAATTGGGTACTTTGTGGAAGAGACTCACTGGCTCTCAATCCTGGCTGGATATTAGAATCCCCTTGAGGTCTTTTGAAAGATATCAATGCCTATCTCAGTCCCTAGATCTTCTGATTTAATTGGTCTGGAATGGGCTCCAGGCAATGGTTTCCTTTAAAAGCTCCTCGGGCATTCTAATGTGCAGTCAGAATTGAACCCTTGAGCTAGATGGCTGAACCATTAACTAGTATTTATTTAGCATTTGCTGTGTACCAGACAGTGTGTTAAACAAATTATGTTATTTCATTTACATAATCCTTATAATAGTCCTGTGAGGTAGGTATTACAAAAGAGGTAATGAAAGATCAAGAGGTTACCATCTTTACCCATGACCACACAGCTCTTAAATGAGTCCTCAAAGTTGGCACTCATATCTCTCTAGCTTGTAGGCCACATGATCCTTTTCACCAGACCTCACTCCTCCTAATCACATATGATCAGCATTTTCTTTATTAATGATGAGTTCTGTCAGCAGTATTTTGACATGATTCCTTTAACATTATCCATATTAGCAATTTTAAGAAGAGATTATGCCATCTAGCTTTACTTCTTTGGAAAAGGTATTAATCTTTTTGTTTGCTCTGTCTGTAATTGTAAGTAACTAAGTCCAGAGTTTACAGAATCACAAATCATTTATCAGAATGTTCAGCACATCCCCCAGAGCATATCTTTTCAAACTTACTTCTAGGCCTGACAGTCATCATCAAGATGTTTCTAGAAAGCTGTTAGCACAAAGCACATATCCTGAAACCATTTGCCTCAGCTTTAATCTGCAAATAAAATAAATAAATAATAGTTGGACAAGATCGCCAAGAAACCTTTCTGGTTTTGCTTTATTTCCAAGCTGAAAGATAATAAAGCAAAAGCAACGCATTTGTTTATTAGCAGCCGTCACTTAGAACCATGAATTAGATGGCTAGTGGCCAGTCATTTATTAACAAATTAACAGATTAGATTCCGTTTTAAATTTATGGCTGATTTTTGCCTCCTTTACATTGTGTAAAAGGCCATTACAAAGGCCATTTATTGATGTTTTAAAAATTACTTATTTGATTTGTTAAGAATGGCTAGTGAAGACAAGAAACAAACCACTGCGTTCACATAGTGGACTAATTTCCCAGGGGACGTTACTTGTGACTCATGTGCTATATTGAAGTGGTCACAATGGGTTTCTGATAGTAGATGGTAAATGGTTTTATAATGTTGTTACTTGGCAAATCCTAAAGGTTGCAACCCTGTGTTAGTGCTGCATTGTACCCACTACCACCCTACCCTTATCGATATTTTTCAACTGGCTCATGTAGGAGCTGCTGTACTAGAGGGCAGGACCCAACAGATGCCACTGTGGCCTCTAGTGAACAGAAGCTTTTAAATGCAGTTTGAGGTATGTTTATGTAAAACATCACATTGCTATGTTAAAATACGTACCTATTTGGCAATGATAGCAACCTTTCACTGTTTGTAGTTTGACTTGATAATGACCGAATCATTCAGGCCATGCTTCAAAAATTGCATTAATTGCTGCATACAGAATGAAAATTAAAAGCATGTTACTTTGGAAATAATAGTATCAGTAGTACATTCGGTTTTGTTATAAATTTAACTATGTGTCTAAAAAACCATTTTTGTGTGTGATGGGTTTTTTTTATTTTTTATAACTTTTTTTTTTAATTATTTTATTGAGGTCATATTGGCTTTTAACATTGTGTAAATTGGTATCCATTATTATATATCAGTTTCTGTATAGACTGCATCATGTTCACCACCACTAGTCTAGTTTTTATCCATCACCATACGTATGTGCCCCTTTAGCCCTTTCACCTTGCCCCCACCCCCTTCTCCTTTGGTAACCACCAATCTGTAAAAAACCATTTTTAAACATTTTTGTTGGGCCGGCCCCGTGGCTTAGCGGTTAAGTGCGCGTGCTCTGCTACTGGTGGCCTGGGTTCGGATCCCGGGCGCGCACAAGTGCACTGCTTCTCCGGCCATGCTGAGGCCGCGTCCCACATACAGCAACTAGAAGGACGTGCAGCTATAACACACAACTATCTACTGGGGCTTTGGGGGAAAAATAAATTAAAAAAAAAATTTAAAAAAACATTTTTGTTGAATTAACTAAAGTGTATTTTGCTTTTTCTTTTATCTAATATTCACCTTATTTACTTCTGAAACACCAACCTTAAAATTTAATTGATCTGGTAATTACCATAAAACAGTAACAATATAATAAAGAAAATACCATCTTTGAAAATAGGGAGACAGCATAATTTAATAAAATTAATATTATAGATCATTTATAATATGTTAGAAATAAAATTTGTTGCATATGAAAATAACTTTTAATTGATTCAAGTAGATCTGCAAGTCTTTATGGCAATATACAAAATACAGTATAAACAATGTGACAATATTGATAGTATATGCTTAAATACTTCCAGTGTCCTAAAGTACTTGAAGTAACTAAGAAGACACAGCCTTGTTTTAAGTCAAGTCCAGGCATAGGTATCATTCAAGCAGTTTACTCAGGATTCTAAAAGCAAACTGTTGCTAGTCACCATGAAGCAGGTTTCACTTTTAATATTCAGATAATCAAATTTTAATTAAAATAAAGGACTATTTATGTAGTTGAAATCAAAGAATACTCACAGTTCAGGCTCTCTTGAAGTAAAAGGAGCTGAACCCCAAGCTTCCCTAAGACACAGAGACTCGTCTTGCTGTGTCAGCTGAGCTCCTCCATCCGGTCGTGGTGCAATTGGTTGGGGTTGTCTTCTATTTTCACATTTGCATGTGGTAACAGGTTTTTTTTCCCTTTTCTTTCTTTTTTCAATATGACAACCCTCAGAATCGTTGTAAAAATAGTAAAAAGCCCCACGACTATGCAACAACTTTATCTTTAAGCTCAATCAACACTTAACTTTAGGAAATTATTTATCTTTTATCTGAATACTTTCCACCTTGACAATTGTGGAAACTTTTCCCTTCTCCCTCAAAATAAAGAAGTTTTATAAATTCTAAGCAGAAATATGCATTTTCTGTTTTTCCCAAGAAATGATGCGTTGTGTGGTATATGGACTTTTAAATCACAAACATTGAATTTCTGTTTCTTTCTGGATTTGTTCTAGAAGTTGTTATTCACATAAAATGGCACTTCTGTATTGAATTATACTAACATTAGTAATGAATTTATTCTTTAATTTTTTAAAGTTTTATTTGATCTGTACATTATTTTGGTATATTTTCCTGTATTCCCTTAATATCTTGGATTTATTTTCTAAAACAATCTTATAATTTGAGGACTGAAGAGATTTGTGATGGTATTCTCCCCTTTTTATCCGTATGATAAACTCTCCCGAGTAAATTGAAATATTTTCTATATTTTAAAGAAAGTAACGAAGGAATTCTGCAGTTTTTGATTTGGTCCTAGTCCAGTATTTACTATCTGTCCATCCATGTAACTGCTGGCCCTGCAGTTTAGTGTCATTTCCCTTTTTGTTGTCTTTTGAAATGAAGAAAAGTTAGTTTTTATCCTCCCCAGAGTTGTTGCCCTGCAGCTTTGTTTACTTCATGGTAAATAATATTTAACTCATGGGCTTTACCTAACATTTGAATTATTTCTGGGTACATATACTCTTCTGAACTCATATTCTCCAAAGGTCTTAGTTTGTTATAAATATGATACATGGGACAGAATATTTTTAAATTGCTAGAATAAAAATACTTTGTAGCTCTTACTTCCCCCTAGAACCTCTGAGAAGGAAGATGATTACTGTATCGGTCTGGTGTGATTTCTTTATTAGTCTGGCAGGAATTTTATGTGTATGTGTGTGTGTGGTAAAAAACACATTACATTAAATTTGCCATCTTAATGATTTTGAAATGTACAGTTCAGTACTGTTAAGTATATTTATATTGTTATGCAGTAAATCTCTAGAACTTTTTCATCTTGCAAAATGGAAACTCTATACCCACTAAACACTAATTCCCCTCTCCCTTCCCCTGCTCTTGGCAACCACCTATTTTCTATGATTTTGACTACTTTAGATAATTCATTTGAGTGGAATCATATACTATTTGTCCTTTTATGACTGTCTTATTTTGTTTAGCATAATATCCTCTAGATTGACCCATGTTGTAGCATGTGACAGGATTTCCTTATTTTTAAGGCTGCATAATATTCCATTGTATGTAGAGACCATATTTTCTTTATCCATTCATCTGTCAGTGGACATTTGGGTTGCTTCCACCTCTTGGCTACTGTTAATAATGCTGTAACAAACATGAGTGTGTAAATATCTTTTTGAGATCCTGGCAGGATTTTTTTTATGACTAAACGGATGTTTATCTGTTACCATTCTATTTCATAAAATCTAATATAAATATTTTTTATATTATGCTAGCTATTTTTCCACACCTAAGCCGTCCCTTTTCAAAACACTAATTCTGTTTTAATCTTCACTTCCCTGGTGGCCCCACTGTGACCAGATTTGAGTATAATATTTTTCTAGTTCTTCCTTTATATGAGCTTTTTCCTGTTCATTTTGAACTTTATACTTTCTGTCTCTATGTTCTTAGCTTATTCCTGTGTATCCTCTTCCCCTCACCCTTCTCTTCTTCCTTTGTTGGTATCTTAGCTTTTTATTTATATAAAGATAGAAGTAGAAAAGAAAAAATAAATGGATATGCTTGTTTGGTGCCATCTATTACTGATATCACTGTTCTCTCTTTGTCTAAATTCCAACTCTGGTTGAATTCAGCTCACCACCTACTCAAGGCCTGAACCCTGCTAGGTAAAAGGAGGACTGCTGGGTACAAACAATCAATTGTGCCAATTGGTCTCGCTTCAAATTTGTGACCACAAACCTCCAGTGGGCCCCTGTGCTGCCAGCAGTCCTGCTATATTTCCTTAATCTGGGGGTTCTCAAAGCGTGGCTCCCAGACCAGTAGCATCAACATCACTCAGGAACTTCTTAGAAATGCACATTCTTGACCTCATCTCAGACCAAGTGAATCAGAAACTCGGGAGGGTAGAAGGCAGCAAGTCTGTGTGATTCTTATGCTAAAGTTTGAGAACCACTGCCTTAGTCAGTTCTTGCTCTTATTCTTTGAAAATACTTTTTCACACCTTCACTTTTCTCAAACTGCCAACAACCCCTTCTCCTTCCCTATTCCCACCTGATGATCACTTTTTATTTCTAAGTAAATAGAAAATAGAAGCACTCAGAAGAGAACTTCCTCATCTTTCTACATCCACATCTGCCTGCATCTACAGGTGCCCTGTACACTGCCTTCTTCACTGTCACTAGGACCAACCCCCCTCCTGACTTGTGCATTACACCGCAACCCCTCTCCTGGGGTCGTTTTTCCTCTCTACAGGATCTTTCCCATCAGAACACAAATGTCTCTCTCTCTTTTTTTTTTTTTTTGTGAGGAAGATCAGCCCTGAGCTAACATCCATGCTAATCCTCCTCTTTTTGCTGAGGAAGACCGGCTCTGAGCTAACATCTGTTGCCAATCCTCCTCCTTTTTTTTCCCCCAAAGCCCCAGTAGATAGTTGTATGTCATAGTTGCACATCCTTCTAGTTGCTGTATGTGGGACGCGGCCTCAGCATGGCCGGAGAAGTGGTGCCTCGGTGCGTGCCCAGGATGCGAACCCGGGCCGCCAGTAGCGGAGCGCGCACACTTAACCGCTAAGCCACGGGGCCAGCCCACAAATGTCTCTCTTTAAAAAACAAAACAAAAACAAAAAACCAAACCTCCCTGAAAATCTCTAGGTACTGTTATGGAGTCATCTATCAGATACATTACTATGTGAAAATTTTGAATATTTATCTGCATTTTCTTATTTTCAAAACAAAAAAATAAAAAAAACGGAAGGATAAACCAAAAACTAATACAGTTACCAATGAGGAGGGAGAGATTGGGCTTGAGGACAGGAGCCAAAAGCTAGACCTCTCTGAATGGGTATTTGTTTACAGTTTTGACTTTGTAACTATGTACATGATTTATATAATTAAAACACCAAATTAAGTCAAAATCTAATTAAAACACCAAATTAAGTCAAAATCTAATTAAAACAAATTGACCTCACTGTGTAACAAATTGACAGCATAACCACAAAGAGAATACTTTTAAGTGACTTTAAAATAGGGTGGGTTTTTTTTTTACATAATTTTAGACTTACAGAAAAGTTACAAGAATAGTGCAAAGAATTCCAGATACCTTTCACTCAGATTCCCCACATGTTAACATTTTTCTATGTTTGTTTTATCCTTATTAGTCTCTCATTCTTATCTATCTCTTTATCTATTTGTCTATGTTTCCTAAAAATAAGGAATTCTCTTAATAGCCACAGTAAAATTATCAAAATCAGGGAATTTATATTGAAAGAATACTATTATGTACTCTACAGACCTTGTTCTAATTTCATCGATTGTCCTAATATCCTGTATAGCAAAAATAAAAACAAGGTTATGTATTGCATTTTAGCTGTTAAATCTCTTCAGTCTCCTTTAAACCCTTTAATCTGAAACAGTATTTGAAGAATATGGGCCCATAACTTTCTAGAATGCCCCTCAGTTTGGGTTTGTCTGATGTTTCCTCATGATGAGATCCAGTTATGTCCTTTGGCAGGAATACCACAGCAGTGTTGCTGAGTTATTGGTGAAGGAAGCACATGCTATCTGTTAGTCCCATTACTAGCAGTAGTAACTTTGATAGTGATGTCTGCCAGGTTTCTCCTCTGTAAAATTAATATTTTACCTTTCGTAATTAATAAGTATCCTGTGAGGAGCTACTTTGAGATTATATAAATATCTAGTCACTCTTCAAACTTTCACCCACTAGTTAGCACCCTTTGGTTCTTACCTGAATCAATTATGATGATGATAACTGCCAAATGGTGATTTTCTAATGCCACAATTTCTTCTACATTCATTAATTGATTTTCTACTTAAAGGAAAGCTTTTCCTTCTCCTCATTCGTTTACTTATTTATTTACATCAGCATAGACTATGAATTCTTACTTTATTCAGTAGTAGAATGGTATTTTGCCTGGGCATCCCTGTCGGATATATCCTAAGGACAAAAAAACCCACAAAGAAATCTTAAACAGCATATAGTGGTTTAGTTGTTACTGGTAATGTAGGTATTGTTATTTTGAAACTTTTATACCCATACATACTAAAGGATAAAGCAAATGAGTAATTATCTTAATGTCATTAAGTACCAACATTACTGGACAAAATCAAAGAAGTAAAAACCCTATAATTGAGTAGAAGAAGCATCAGTATGCATTGGTGATTTATTTTCCTCCTTCCAAAAAACACATATTTTCTAGCTCTGTCCACTGAAAAGTCAAAGCAATGATAACCCAGTAGCAATAACATACCTAATACTCATATTGTGGATTTAAATACCTTTTTCCACTAAACAGAAATGAGACTGTTTGGAGAAATGGCTGGTTTTAGATCTGGGGCAAGAAATGAACAAGACAAGCCTTAGATATCTTCTTGTACGTGAAAGCAAGAAAGTTATCAGACTCCTAGAGTCTCACAAAAGGACATTAGATCTGACTTAAAGGGCCTCTCACTGGCCAAAAATGTGATAATTTGAACATCAGAATGAATAATGGCTACAATTGATTAAAACACATCAAATATATAAAAATCTATAAATTCATAATAATACAAAAAAAACCCTTCATTGG